TCGCGGGGCGAGCTCGAGGCAGCCGAGATCGCTTGCAGCCCAGGAGTTGGGATTGCTGTGAGGAGCGCTGACGCCACGCGTCACTCGCTAGGCCGGCGGGCTACAGAGGGAGATTGCTTGCCTCAAAAAAAAACAGAAAGAGTGAGGTCGCGGAAGAAGCAAGAACAAGAAAGACCCCGGCCCTGCCCCCTCATCGCCGCCTTACCTGGCCGGAGGCGCAGCCTCTGTTGCGCAGGGTAGGGGGTGGCGGGCCGGTGGGAACTTGGGCTACGGGATTCGTCCACCCTCGGCCGGACTCCAGCCGTGGGACTCCCGTCGGTGAGCGAGACCGGAATACGTCCACCCGACGGGGCCCCTCACGCGCGTGTACCCCACAGCCCGGCCAGCCACGTCCGCGTAGGAAGCAGGAGCCCGGAGGCTAACGGGCGGGCCCCGCGCGGCCGGGGGGGGCGGTCCCCGGCTTCAGGGCTTGGAGGACCCTGGCCGTCCCCGGACGAGGGTCAGCTGGAAGGAGGGTGAGAAGACAAAGGACACCGATGGGACATGCGGCGCGCGCACTGCTTGGCCCGGATTTATTAGTATTTTTTATTTTGGAGGCAGGAGTCTCGCTCGACGGCGCGTCGTTGGCAGTCGTGATCATATGTTCCATCTCTGTTGTACTCTGCGAGCGGTGGGTATAGCGCTGTTGGTTGCCATGACTAACGATCACACTCGCGTCCGGTGCATACCCGGTAGGAAGCCACAGTACTGGGGTACCGTCCGTCACACTCAGCTGTCGGGGGGGGCGGCGGTAGGGTGCTGTAGGATTGTAAGATCGCTCGGCGGTGCGCGGGCGACAGACCACAGTGGCGTCGCGCGCCGAGCAATGAGCACAAGCAGTTGACCGTGATGAAGTCGCAGTAGAGCCAGGAGGCCAACGCAGTCCACGACATTCCGGGCAACGTGTCAACTGTCGATGAACTCTCGTCTGTGTGTCAGAGAGGAAGGGGTTAGCAATTCAGTGGCCGCGAGCCTACCGTGGTCGGGTGTTTTGGTCAACACGAACACCAGCTCGTGGTCCGGGGTGTCCAGGTCCCGCAGGCTCAGGGAGGAGTTGGTCAGCACGGCTGCCTCGCCCGGCCGCACTCGGAGGGGCCCCAGGGTCATCGTGGGGGGCTCGTCATTCTTCCTCTAATGAAAGCATAAAACATCAGGTCTCACCAATGTACCGCGTTCCCCCGAAGACAAGTCAGGGTCTTCTATTTATTTCTCCTCCAGAAGACGCCCTAGGGATTATTTTCGGGGATGTGTTATTGTTTTTTTTTTTTAAGTACGGTACAACCATCTGCATTGATTCAAACAGAGTGAAGTCGTCTTCTTCTGGAACATCATCCTCACTCTCCAGACCCCGAATCCCATCCTGAACGTCTTGCGACTCTGTTTCCTTTAGAGCCACCGGCCCCGATCTCTCCTGTCGAGCACTAGAGCTCTCACGGGGCGGATGAGAAGGGCTGCTCCTGTTCTTTCCCACTCCGCAACGACACGCATGGGTTGTGCAGATGCGCTGCGCAGCCACGCCCATCACTAGGGCTGATTTTCATAGCCACGCCCATCACTAGGGCTGATTTTCATAGCCATGCCCATCACCAGGGCTGATTTTCATAGCCATGCCCATCACTAGGGCTGATTATCATAGCCACGCCCATCACAAGGGCTGATTTTCATAGCCATGCCCATCACTAGGACTGATTTTCATAGCCACGCCCATCACAAGGGCTGATTTTCATAGCCACGCCCATCACCAGGGGTGATTTTCATAGCCACACCCATCACTAGGACTTTTTTCTATAGCCACGCCCATCACTGGGGCTGATTTTGATAGCCATGCCCATCATTAGAACTGATTTTGATAGCCATGCCCACCACTGGGGCTGATTTTCATGGCCACGCCCATCACTAGGGCTGATTTTCATGGCCACACCCATCACTAGGGCTGATTTTCATAACCACGCCCATCACTAGGACTGATTTTCATAGCCACGCCCATCACTAGGGCTGATTTTCATGGCCACGCCCATCACTAGGGCTGATTTTCACAGCCACGCCCATCACTGGGGCTGATTTTCATAGCCACGCCCATCACTGGGGCTGATTTTCGGGGTAGGGCTTCTATTGCACACATGCTTAGACATCCTGCTGGGGCTTGTTTGATGGGGAGGGGTTGTTTTCGGGGAAACAGGGTATCAGCTCAAGTAGAAAGAAAACACAGACTATCCAGAGAAAGTACCACTGCCGGGGCAACTTTCTCAATCAAAACAGCATCGAATGTGGTCCTCTTTACCTCCCAGTTCAAATGGTGAGTTTGGAAAGAGAGGGAGCCACACAGACAGAATATCTCTTGAAAGGAAGCTGACAGACAACCTACAAACACCTTCTCTGGTGTCTTCCATAGGTACAATGGCCATATTAGCTGGACCACAAATACGGACGTGTGATTTCACAAGTATATTTTGAAGACAAAAGGGCACAGGCTTATATTTGAACACAGAACTGCCTTACAAAATCCTAAGCACATCCTAGTACCTGCAGAAGGACCTAATACTACTTAACTACTATAAATATACTATACCTATATTCTTTTTTTCTTTAGACAGAGTCTCGCTCTGTTGCCAGGACCGAGTGCCATGCCGTCAGCTCGCCTCACTGCAACCATCAGACTCCTCGGCGCTCGCGCTCTCGCTCGCCTCGCGAGTAGACTCCTGAGACTACAGAGATGTGCCACCACGCCGGCTAATTTTTCGCTTAATATTCTTTAGTATGTCAGGCTAATCTTATTTCTACCTTTTTTAGTAAGCACGGGGTCTCGCCCTCTGTGCTCCGCGCTGATTCAATCTAACTCACAGCGACTCCTCCCCGCCTCGCTCCCCCCAGAGAGCTGGCTGAAGGGATGAGCACATGCGTCTGGCCTCCCCTACTATAGTTCTTAGTCTGGGCAATTAATTTCTTCTACTTTTATTAGGACGGGGTCTGCGCTCTTGTCGGCTGGTCTCGAACTTCGTGACCGTCAGAGAGATCTCACCCGCATCGGCTCCCGCAGAGTGCTGGGATGAAGGTTGGCCACTGCGCCCCGACCGGAAACTATACTTGCCGTGAAAGTGTAGGTCTCATAAGGCGCTTCCCTCCTGCCATGTATGCAGCCTCCGCCGCACTGCACCCTTACAGTCGACTGAGAGGTTTCCATTCCACACTTTTTATTTTCCCCAAGGCAGGGGATGCTCCATTCTGAGACTTATCTTTTATCTCTCGTCTGCGCTCTCTGATCTCAGGATCAGTAGCAAGCAGCTGTGTACGTGTTGGCTCAAATGTGGAATAGAACACCAGGCATAATCGGAAACACTTCTTCGATGTTACAACTAAATGAATAAATGCATTAAAAAATAAAGATCAAGGCAAGGCCCAGTGGCTCATGCCTGTGATATCGCACTCCATGGCGCCGGCCCCGAGGCGGGCCCGGGCCCTCACTACAGGTCCAGCGCGTCTTCAAAAAACCAGCTGAGAAGAGCGAGACACCACCGGTCTCTACTATGACAACCTCCCACCGAACCGAAATCTCGAATTGGCAACTTACTACTCCTACCCCCAGAACAAATGAGCCGGCTGCGGTGGCGGCATGCTGTAGTCCCAGCTACTCGGGAGGAGGCCTCGAGGCAGGACGGATCGCACTCGAGCGCGAGGGAGTCTGAGGTTGGCTTGCGTGAGCGACGGCGTGGAGCCCCCAGGGAGACTCACTCTAGACTGGGCCACCGACGTGCGGCCCTCTGCCTCAAAAGAAAAACGCGTAGACAACGGCACACCATCCGCACATACGCCAACACACACGGATTTAGAGAAAAACAAGCATATACATTAGTCCTTTCCCGCAACCACCGCGCCCTCCTTTGCGCCTCTCTGTATCGCGCATCCTCCACCAGCCAGTCTTTCCCACCAGAACGAATAACGTTCACCCTGAAATGGAAAGCTCAGATCTCCAACTCGAACCTCCCCCCAAAAATGCCGGCTTCATTCTACAAGTTCCCCAGAGGGCGCATTTCGGAAACGACCTTTAAAATGGAAGGCCAAAGCCGGGATCTCGTCTGCTTTTGAGTCCCCCGTAAAGAGAGCAACGTGACGGTTTTGGTGCGGTTTTGCGGCCACGGGTTCGTGCAACCTCCCAGCTCCCAAGTTTACCCCTCGATGGTGTATGTCGATGCTGCGATCTCGAAGGGCCCGTTGCCATGGCCTCACGTAAAAACTGAAAACGTCGTGGGTGGGCTCCACGCTTTCGTGCACGCTCTGGTAGTAGTAGATGTAGTTTTCCAGGACGTCCCGGACCGGGAACGCCGCCTCGCGGCCACTGGGAGTTTCGGGGCCGAAACGATCGCCTATGTCAAGACCAAGAGAGAATTTGCACCTTTCTTTTTTTGTTTTTTGAGGACAGAGTATCACTTGTCACCGGGCTAGAGTGAGTGGTGGCGGCAGCCTCGCTCAGCAACCTCCATCCTGGCTCAAGCGATCCTCTGCCTCATGCTCCAACGAGTAGCTGGGACTACAGGCATGCGCCCCCACGCCCGGCTCATTTTTTCTATATATGTTTTTAGTTGTCCAGCTAATTTCTATTTTTTTTTAGTAGAGACAGGGGTCTCGCTGTTGCTAAGGCTGGTCTGGAACTCCTGATCTTGAGTGATCCTCCGCCTCGGCCTCCCAGAGTGCTGGGATGACAGGCATGAGCCACCCACCGTGCCCGGCTAATTTTTTCTCTATATATTTTTTAGTTGTCCAGCTAATTTCTTTCTATTTTTTTAGTAGAGACAACGGGGGTCTCACTCTTGCTCAGGCTGGTCTCGAACTCCTGACCTCGAGCAATCCTCCCTCCTCGGCCTCCCAGAGTACTGGGATGACAGGCGGGAACCCTGCAGCCCAGCCCGATATCTTTTCAATTTCTCTCCAGTTTCCCACCTCTAGGCTTATCGGGACACACGGCCCTCCCGCCGTCTGCACTCCCTTCTTCCCGGGCCCGGATGGCCTCACCGCGGCGACGCCGTACCTGTCCCCGCGTTCTCGATGCAACCGTATCTGGGCAAGGCACTCAGCGTAATGACCGCGTCTCCCCGGAGGCCGTCCTGGTCCTCCGTAGCAAAGAAATGGTGAAAGGAGAGCGGGGTCCGACCCCCCTCGTCCACCTAAAGAGGAAAAAAAGCACAGGGAGAGGCCTCAGGGGACCCCACACACCCGCGGGGACACAGAACCGACTGCAGAGTGCTGCCCGGGGGCCTCCCGGCGCGGACTCCACTCCTGGGAGGAGGCAGAACCTCCGCCGACCGATTGGAAGAGGCTGGGATCTCTCGGTGCCTCGAGAAGCCACGCTCAGACGCGACAACTGCTTTTATATATTTTTTTCTTTTTGAGACAGAGTCTCCCTCTGTCGCCCGGGCTAGAGTGAGTGCCATGGCATCAGCCTCGCTCACAGCAACCTCAGACTCCTGGGCTCAAGCGATCCTCCTGCCTCAGCCTCCCGAGTAGCTGGGACTACAGGCATGCGCCTCCACGCCCGGCTAATTTTTTTTATATATATTTTTAGTTGGCCAATTAATTTCTTTCTATTTATAGTAGAGACGGGGTCTCGCTCTTGCTCAGGCTGGTCTCGAACTCCTGACCTCGAGCGATCCTCCCGCCTCGGCCTCCCTCCCGAGTAGCTGGGACTACAGGCATGCGCCTCCACGCCCGGCTAATATTTTTCTATATATATTTTTAGTTGTCCAATTAATTTCTTTCTATTTTTAGTAGAGACGGGGTCTCGCTCTTACTCAGGCTGGTCTCGAAGTCCTGAGCTCAAAGGATCCTCCCGCCTCCGCCTCCCAGAGTGCTGGGATGACAGGCGTGAGCCACCACACCCAGCCCCATGCATATCTTGATACCATTGTCTAGATCAGGGGTCCTCAAACTATGGCCCGAGGGCCACAGGCAGCCCACCGAGGACATTTATCCGCCCCGCTGGGTGTTTTTCCCCAGCTGCCTGTCCTGCTTAGCAGCCGACTCGTCTGAGGCCCACAGTGCACATGTGTGGAACGTGCACCGCCCTCTCCAACGGTCTGGGGGACAGTGACCTGGCCCCATTTAAAAAGTTTGAGGGACCCGGCTCGGTGGCTCACGCCTGTCATCCCAGCACTCTGGGAGGCCGAGGTGGGAGGATCGCTCGAGGTCAGGAGTTCGAGACCAGCCTGAGCAAGAGCGAGACCCTGTCTCTACTATAAATAGAAAAGAAATTAATTGGACAACTAAAAATATATAGAAAAAATTAGCCAGGCTTGGTGGCGCATGCCTGTAGTCCCAGCTACTCTGGAGGCTGAGGCAGGAGGATCGCTCGAGGCCAGGAGTTGGAGGTTATTGTGAGCGAGGCTGACGCCACGGCACTCACTCTAGCCCGGGCAACACAGTGAGACTCTGTCTCAAAAAAAAAGAAAAAATTGTTCTTTTCCTCCAACTTTCCTATATATATATAAAAAAAATAAAAAAAAATAAAACAAGTTTGAGGATCCCTGGTCTAGATATTGGGGGGCTGGGGGCGGAGTGGGGGAGCCGATTTAGGCGGAAATCCTCTCTCTCTTGACCACGATTTCAGGTCCGCGCAGCGCTCACGGCTTAGGGATCCCAGAACTGCTCACCGTGATGAGGTCCGCGAAAGCGAGGATGGGGGGCGGGTGTTCGGCAGGCGTGATGGTGACGGTGAACTCCTGGTGGTGCAGCTGGTTGTGGTCCGAGTCAGAGACAGAAAAGCGGAAGCCGTCAGTGAGCAGACGGCCGTCGGCTTCAGACACCGCCGAGTACCTGCAAGAGGCCAGACAGAACCACGTGAAGGAGACAGGACCACGTGAAGAAGACAGGACCACGTGAAGGAGACAGGACCACGTGAAGGAGACAGGACCACG